GCTGCTTGGCCTGCTGTGTTCATCCAGCCCTGCACCTTGTTGTCTCACCTTCACTGCACCTCCAGTTTTCAGCTTTTTTGTTCATGTTTGAACCAAGGCTGTAATGAGGTCAGGAGCCGAGTGTCCCTGGCATAACCCAAACTGGGCATCACTGATCAGGTTATTACTGAGCAGGTGCTGTTTGATAGCACTGTTGATGGTGGGAAGCCAAAACAAGCAGGGTACTGGGATGTGTTAATGAATATTGAACCACTTCTCATTTCTGCTAATCTGAGAAACTTCCATATCCCTTACCCCGTATTCCCCATTTGTAGCCTTTTTAAAATCTGCACTGCTACCTGACCCCTTGACCCTACATTTCCTCGTATCTGTCGTGGGTCTGCACTACACCGGCCAAAGCCTTTATCAGCTAGACAGTGGGGAGAGCTTTGAAGTGGATTAAATTAAATTAATTTCATATGGGCACTGATCCATTCTGATGTTTATTTTTTCCTCAGCTGCTCAGGGAACTGTCTCAGTCGTGAGCGGGACAGAGGGAAATTCAGTTACTTTACCCTGTATCTTCATGACCAGAGACTTCGGCACCCTGTCCACTATTACCTGGATGAGGAAGAAGCCCTACCAACACATCGTTACATTTACAGCCCAATCAAAGGGAAATTGGACAACTGTAAATGGTGGAAATCGGTACGAGCTCATCGGGAATCCAGATAAGGGAAACGCATTGACCAGGATAAACCAGCTGAGTGTGAGGGACAATCATACTTACCTCTGTCAAGTGGAATACAGATCAAGTCTCAATTTTCAGTACCTGATCCAGAAAGAGATACGGCTACAGGTCATACCTAGTAAGAAACCATTCTCTCGTTCTTTAGTCTATAGAGAGTAACAGTGATGATGGGACGTAAGAAAAAGGATTCATCAGCCATTGGCATTTTTGGTATGACTCCTACTTCCAAGTTATAAGGCCAGGGGTTCAAGTTCCATTTGAGATTGTGTGACACTCCAGTGCAGCACTGATGGAATCCTGCACTGCTGAAGTCACCTTCTTTCTGTAAAGTTACTGAACTGAGGCTGTGCCTCGAATCTCAGATTCATATAGAGCATATTTAAGACAGTTTCTTAGGACAACTCATTTTGAAACCGACTAGGGACGAGGCAATTTTGCACCTGACTCTGAGTCAAAATTAGTAGGATATATAGAACAGCAGTAGAAGCTTTTCCATGGATATAAAAAAGAAAAGAAGATCTAAAAATGAGTGTTGATTCATTACAGGATGAGGGGAGATTAATAGTAGGAATGAAGGCAATGGCAGAGACTTTGAATAAAGATTTTGTCTCCACATAAGATAACACAAAAAACATCCCAAGAAAAGTAGAAAATCATATATAGCAAATCAAAGAAGGGACAAACTGAGCATAGTGGCTCAGTGGTTAGCACGGCTGCCTCACAGCACCAGGGAGCTGGGTTCGATTACATCTTCAGGCAACTGTTTATGTGGAGTTTGCATATTCTATCCACGTCTGCATGGGTCCCCTCCAGGTGCTCTGGTTTCCTCCCATAGTCCTAAGCTGTGCAGGTTAGATGGGTTGGCCATACTAAATTGCCCTTGGTGTCCAGGGTTGTGCAGGCCAAGTAGAATGACCATGGGAAATGTGGGGTAACAGGGATAAGGTGGGTCTGGATGGGATGCTCTTCAGAGGATGGGTGTAGATTCAATGGGCCAAATGGCCTGCTTTCCCACTGTAGGGATTCTGTGATAATTACAGGAGGAAAAAAAGCTGGGAAAATTATTGGGATTTAAGGCCCCTGGACCTGATCTCCTCCATCCTAGAGTCTTAAAAGAAGAGGCTGCAGAGTGCAGGTGTATTAGTTGTAACCATTCACAATTCCCTAGATTTAGGAAGCTCCAGGTGGATTCGAACATCAGAAATATAATGCTTCTCTCCAAGAAAGGGAGACAAAAGGCAGGAATCTACAGGCCATTTAGTCTTCTGTCCGTAATTGGGAGAAATGCTAGGATTCATTAATAAGGAGTTACTAGTAGGACATTTAGGAAATTGTGATATAATCAGGGAGAGTCAACATGGTTTTATAAAAGGGAAGTCATGTTTGACAGATGTTTATTAAAGTTCTTTGAGGATGTAACACACAGGATGGATAAAGAGAAAGCAGTAGACATAGTGCATTTGCATTTTCAAAAGGCATTCAATAAGGTGTCACATAAAAGGTGTAATTAGAGCATATAGTACTGTGAGTGATTTGTTAGAATGGATGGAGAATTGGCTAACAACAGGAAATATAAATTTTGAATGAATAGTTCATTTTCAGGTTGGCAAACTAAACCCAGTGAAGTGCAGAGTGGTCAACGCTAAAGGTTCAATGATTTACAATTTATATTAATGACTAGCAACTGCTAAGGATAAATAGGGACCGACTATAATTGTAGCTACATTTTATGTTGATATGAAGGTAGGTAGGAAAGCGAGTTATGAAGAAGTTATAGAGTTTGCAAAGAGATATAATAAAATTACCACAGTCCCATAGGCTCTCATAAGAGGTGGTGAATTTAACCTCAGGGTCACCACATCTCAGGAGAGGGACAAGGTTGAGAAGGTAGGATCTTCATGGTAACCTCAGCCTATACAGGAATTGAATCCACACTGTTGGCATCACTCGGCATTGCAAACCAGCTGGCAAGCTAACCAATCCCCAAAGGGTTTCATATAGATTAAGTGACTGGGCATAAGTTTGGCCGATGAAATATAATGTGGGGAAATGTGAGAATGTTCAGGAAGATTTGAAAAGTAGAGTTTTATTTAAAAGAAGAGAAATTGCAAAATGTGTTGGTACAGAGGAATCTGGGTATCCTTGTGTATGAATCACAAAATGTTGGTGTGCAGATATGGGTCTGTCTTAAGAAGGTGAATAAAGCATTAATCTTTATTGCAAAGGGGATTGAGTACATAATTAGAAAAGTCCTGCTATTACTGTACAGGAAATTGGTCAGACTTCACCTAATGTATTGTGCATTGTTTTGGTTTCCTTACTTACAGAGGGATGTACTTTCATTAGAAGCAGGTCAGTAAAGGTTCACCAAGCTGATTCCTGGAAAGAAAAGATTACCTGATGAGGAAAGATTGAACTTGTTGGGCCTGTACTCATTGGAATTTAAAAGAATAAGAGGTGATTTTATTAAAACATATAAAATACCAAGAAATCTTGAGGGGGTAAGTTCTGAGAGCAAGTTTCACCTGGTGTGGAATCTAGAACGAGGGAATACAGTTTCAAAATAAAAGATTTCCCATTTAAGCTAGAGATGAGGAGAAACACAGAAAAATAGGAATATGTGTACAAGAACAGATTATTCAGCCATTGAATCTGCTCCAACATTTATCATAGAATCCCTACAGTGTAGAAACAGGCTCTTTGGCCCAACAAGTCCATTCTGACCGTTAGAGCATCCCACCCAGACATACCTAATCTACACATCTCTGAACACTACAGGCCAATCCACTGTGCTCGCACATCTTTGGACTGTGGGAGGAAACTGGACCAAACCCACACAGACACAGGGAGAACGTGCAAACTCCACACAGATAGTCACCCATGAGTGGAATCAAACCCAGGTCCCTGGAGCTGTGAGGCAGTAGTGCTAACCACTGAGCTGCCCCATTTAATACAATCTTGGTAATTGAACATTTCAATGTTTTTTGAACCATCTATCCCATAATCCTTTCAACAAATAGTTAACAGAAATCTATCAATCTCTACTTTAAATATGCTCAAAGACTAAGTTTCCATATCCCTCTGGGGTAGAGAGTTCCAAAAAGTTCCAAAAACTTTGAGTAAAAAGAATTCTTCTATTTCTGTCTTAAATGGTATTCCCCTGAGTTATAAATTGTGACCCCCTGATTCTAGACTTCCCAACCAGGGAAATCTGACCTGTAGCTACCCTGTCAAGTCCATTCAATATTTTGTGGGTTTCAATGAGATGACCGCTCATTCTTCGAAACTCTCGAAAATGCAGACCCACTCTCTCTTTATCGGACAATCTCACCATCCCATGAAAAGTCTGGTGAACCTTCAGTGGACTCCCCCTCTGGCAATAATATCCTTCCTAAGATAAGGAGCCCAAAACTGCACTCAGGTGTGGTCTAACCAAGCACCTGTACAATTCTAGCAAAACTTCACTATTACTATACTCAAATCCTCTTAAGGTTAAAGGCTAACGTTCCATTAGCTTTCCGAATAGCTTCCTGCACCTCCATGTTAGTCTTCAGTGATTTATGGAAAAGACATTTTACTATACAATACAGGAGCCTTTGTCCATTTATACCTTCCAACTTCTTAACATTTATGAAATATTCTGTACCTCTGTTTTTCCTACCAAAATAGATAACCTCACATTTTCTACACTGTATTCCATATACCAAGTCTTGCCCATTCACTAACCCTGTACAAATCCTCCTGAAGCCACTTTATATCTCCCTTACAAAACACATTCCCAGCTTTGTATCATCGCAAATTTGGAAATATTACATTTCCTTCCCATCTCCAAATCATTGATATATGTTGCACCAAAGCGTCTGTTTCCGTGCTGTATGACTCTATTTACTTCTAACGCTGAGTATTTGCCCCTTAACATTGTAATTACAACAGTTTGACTGATTACAGTGATTATCATTGTATTTACCCTTGTCATCAAGTGATACAGCATTTATCCATGCCACTGTACTATTTACCCTCAGCAATTGCTACTGTATTTATCTGTATCAGCTTGCCCACATTGTTCACCTCTGAATATTGTGCAATTCACTGTACCACAGTACTCATCAACATCACTTTGAACTATAGTATTGGTTGTGATGGACATATACTACATCATTAACCTTTATCACTGTAAATACTACAGTTTTAATCCTGTCATTACAAAATATGACCGAATTAAACCCTTCATTGCAAATACTTTGGGATTAAGCCTGCCTCTGTGAAACAGTTATTTGGCATTCTTCATTCACATAGTCTGCCTAGTGTAGCTCATTACCCCAGCCTTCTTATCCTGCAATTGAGTTTCACACATGCCCACAGAATTTGATTATCCGTTCCTGGATTATTTGTCTGTCACCTTTGTTTGTCTCTGATTTGATCTCTCATTTTCTGTTCATTTGCAGAGACTTTCCCCATTGCTATATTATGCATTTCACTTGTGTTGAAACTCCCTCCCCTTCTGGTGATGTGGATCATTTTATACAGGGACAAAACCAGGTATGGAATATTGCTGGCAGATTCTTATCTTCAAATGCCTGAAGCTCGATTCATGGGTAAGCCTTCTCGTTGTGTATTGATTGGTGATTCAAACACTTGAACCTCCTGGTTGAGCCAACGATCCCACAGTAATACATCCAGTAGAGGTCACTGGATACCAGCAGGAGTAGGAACCTTGGCCTGCGTTTTCTCTCCCTATCCAAGTAACAGGGCACTTGGAGAGCCCTTAGAGCCCCAACTAGAATTCAGCTCAGCTCAGACTAGGGGATCAAAACTGGCTCCATCCTGATTTGCATGATTTAGCTCCTCACAGAATGAATGTGCTGAGCTACTCCCAGGTCATCTCAATTCACTGGAGGATAGTTTAAATTACAACCTCAGGGGATGTTGGATTAAAACGTGACGGAGTTGAATTTTATTCCAGTAGTTGATAATCAGATTCCTACTCGCTTTCCAATCTCAGTCCACCGAATTTCATGGAAAACACTAACCACTGACCACAATACTTGGAAAAAGAATAGAACACCTTGGGTATTGGTTGCTGTTCAGACGGTGACAGTGATGGCTGTCGCTGTGCTAAACTCTTCACTTTAATGACAGAGTTTTATTGAAAGGGCTTGATAATCTCTTTCTAAATCAGTCTTACCCAATAGGATTCTAATGCTCGCCATAGTTGTGGCAATCAGGTCATTAAATTCAACACATGATACAAAAGGTATGCAATATTAATGAATTAAGTGTACAATCCAAACATTTTGCGATGCAACAGCAAGACTGAAAGCCTAGAGCATTAGACTGAAGGCCTAAAGACCCCTGATTCAATCCTGGGTTTCTGCACTATAACCTGGATGCTTCCATTTTAAGAGCTCTTGTAACACCGTTTCTCTGGGTCAGGAGGCCTGGGTTTAAGTCTTGCCTTCTCCAGAGGTGCTTCATAATACCTCTAAACAGGTTAATTTTTAAAAAACAACAAAGGGTTGTGTCTATCTATTAACTGATTTGGAACATTGTGAACAATTTTGGGCCCTGTGTCTAAGGATGGCCTTTGAGGGGGTCCTGAGGAGGTTCACAGGAATGATTCTGGGGACAAAGAGCTTGTCATAAGAAGAGTGGTTGAGGACTCTGAATCTATATTCGATGGAGTTTAGAAGGATGAAGTGGGGTATTTCTATGAAACTTATTGAGAGGCCTGGATAGAGTGGACATGGAGAAGATGCCTTCATTGCTCAGTCCTTTGACTATAGGAGTCATATTGAGGTTGTACAGGACATTGTGAGGCCTCTTCTGAAGTATTGTGTCTAGTTCTGGTTGCCCTGTTATAGGAAGGATATTATTAAATTAGAGCGGGTTCAGGAAAGATTTACCAGGATGAGTTTATAAGTTATAAGTTATAAAGAAAGGCTAGGTAGGCTGGGACTTTCTTCACTGGAGCTTACGATGTTGGGAGGTGACCTTATATAAGTTTATAAAATCATAAGGGGTATAGATAGGGTAAGTAGTAGATATCTTTTCTCTAGGATGGAGGATTTCAAGACTTGGGGGCATATTTTAAGGTGAGAGGAGAAAGTTTTAAAAAAGACATGAGGGACATTTTTTTTTACGTAGAGGCTGGTTCACATGTGGAATGAACTTCCTGAGGAAGTGGTGGATGTGGGCATTGTGACAACATTTAAAAGACGCTTAGGTAAGTACATGAATAAGAAAGGTTTGGAGGGATACGGGCCAGGAGCAGGCAGGTGGGACTAGTTTAGTTTGGGATTATTGTCAGCGTGGACTGGTTGGACCGAAGGGTCTGTTTCCGTGCTATATGACTCTGTGACTTTAGATTTCCACTAACAGGAGAAAGCCTAAGAGTGAAGGGATGACCCTTTAGAACTGAGAGGAGGAGGAATTTCTTCAGCCAGAGAGTAGTGAATCTGTGGAACTCACTGAACAGGACACTGTGGAGGGAAGTCATTGAGTGTCTTTAAGACTGAGATAGGTTCTTAATTAGTCAGGGGATCAAGGGTTACAGGGAGAAGGAAGGAGAATGGATGAAAACATATCAGCCATGCAGACTCAATGGGCTGAATAGCCTGATTCTGCTTATGTGTCTTATAGTATTACATGTTTCATTTCTCACAGCATGCTTCAGGTTATTTAACAAAAACACAAATTTCTTTAAGAATGAACTATCAGAATTGATACATTTGGAGACTTAGGAAGGAAAAAATTATGATCTTTACACATAGGCTCCTGCTCTTTGAGTTTTGTTTTACTTATGCTCTATCACCCTTCATTTATAGACACCGCTGTTACAATTAGGATGGAAGGAGTGCACTGTCTCGCTCTCTCTGTCTCTCTCTCTCTCTCTCTCTCTGTCTCTGCTTCTGTCTAGTCCTACTGCTCCATGGGTCACAACATAAATTTAAAAACATTTCACTCAAGTCTCAAATGATCAATCATATACTTTCACTATGTGTTAAACTTGGATTGAAAAGATTCATCAAACGAGTTTCTTTCACAATCCCAAAATTGTTGGTTTATTATAAAACAAAACCTGCCGAGGTGTTCATCAAAATACTTCTTAAGGAGAGTTCCTGTCTATACCATCATTTCAGTGAGTCCCAGTTACCTACAACCCTCTGGGTGGGAAAAGCTTTCCTCAAATCCCTTCTAAGTGCCCCACCCCAATTCTTGCATTAAAACTGTGCCCCTGGTTATTGATCCCTTTACAAAGGGGAAAGGTCTCCAACTATCTAACCTGTCTATGACCCTCTGAAGTGCATACACTCAATCAGATCCCCTTCTCAGCCTTCTCGACTCTAACGAAACCAACCCAATCCTATCTAGTCTCTCCAAACCTGAATTTTTCCAGTCCAGGCAACATCCTGGTGAATCTCTTTGGCACCCTCTCTAGTACAATAACATTCTTCCTATAGTGTGGCAACCACAACTTCTAAACTGCAGAGAATATGGGCACAGTCTCCTTAATCACTCCTTATCAGAAATTCCAGTGTCCCAGGAACCGGTCTGGTGAATCTCTCTTTATGGCAAGTCTATCCTTCCTTAGGCAAAGAGACTAGAACCATACTCCAGGTATAGTCTCACAGGTGCTCTATTGAATTGAAGGGAGATCGCTACTACTGTGCTGAAATCCTCTTGCAATAAAGGACAACATACTATTTGCCCTCTGAATTGCTTGCTGCACCTTCATATTAGCTTTCATCGACTTATGAACAAGGGCACCAAGGTTCATTGGGCATGAACACTTTCCAGTCTCGCAATATTAAAGCAGTACTCTGCAACTTTCGCCTGTCTAAATCCACTTGAAGCCTCTTTGCATCCTCCTCACAACTCATATTCTAACCAAGTTTTGTATCAATGGAAATTTGGAAATATTTAGCGACATTCTTTCTTTATTAACGGGATGTGGGCATCGCTGGCTAGGCAGCATTTATTTCCCATCCCTAATTGCCCAGAGGGAAGTTCAGAGTCAACCACATTGCTGTGGGTGTGGAGTCACATTTAGGCCAGACCAGGTAAGGATAGCAGTTTCCTTCCCTAAAGGATATTAGTGAACCAGATGGATTTTTCCAACAATCGACAATGGATTCATGGTCATCATTAGATTCTTAATTCCAGATATTTTATCAAATTCAAATTCCACCATCTGCCTTGGCAGGATCTGAACCCGGGTCCCCAGAACATTATCTGGGTCTCTGGATTAACAGTCCAGCGAAAATACCACTCGGCCATCGCCTCCCTCTGAGTACATTACTGAGTAAAGTACATTTTTAGTAAGAGAAAATACATTTCTCACTGAGGCCTAAATCCAGATGTCTCGTAACCAAATCCAGGATCCATCATTTTTACATAGGTTGCAGTGAGATCTAAATTGCACATTTTTGGTTTCAGTGCTTCTCCCCAAGCCACAACTATCTCACTTTCCCTCTTGGGTATTTTTGCCTTTCAGAAGTGCTTGCTTTTGTTTAAAATAAAGTATTATTTATTTAAACACTGGACATTACCTTTCTACCATCAAACTTTATAACGTATTTTTCAAATCCACTGCAGCCAACATCCTCCACATACCTTCATAATTGCCCTTGTTTAGATCCAAGACTCTACTTTCAGAATGAACTAAGTTTTCATATTATGGTCACTACCTGCAGTGTAGTAGCAGGCCATTCAGATCAGTCAAGACTAACCCTCCGAAGAGCATCCCAAACAGACCCACCTCCCATATCCCATGCATTACCCTGTGCATCCCTGGACACAATGGGCAATTTACTGTGGCCAATTCATGTAACCTGCACATCTTTGGACTTGGGAGGAAACCCACGCAGACATGGAGAGAATGTGCAAACTCCACACAGACAGTCACCCGAGGCTGGAATCAAACCTGGGTCCTTGGAGCTTTGAGAGGCAGTGCTATCTACTGTGCCACCATTGCCAGGAGTGACAGTGGAATTAATGTCGGTGGACAAGAAACATATTGGAATGGAAATCTCCTAGGAGAGAGGAGCAGAACTTCTTCAAGTGGACATGCCTAGAAAAGATGTGGCAGTGAGTTAAATACTAAATAAAAACTAAAAGAACTGTGGATGCTGTAAGTCAGGAACAAAAATTCAAGTTGCTGGAAAAGCTCAGCAGGTCTGGCAGAATCTGTGAAGAAAAATCAGAGTCAACATTTTGGGTCCGGTGACCCTTCCTCAGAACTGATGGTAGCTAATGTCCACTATGTTAATTTCACTGTCACTCCTGGTGTTTGACTAGGTATTTGCTCCTCCGAGCCAGATCATTATCAACTCCTTTATCTGTCCAACTGTTCTTCTCTCCCTTTGCGCTCTATCCCCACCTATTGTTTACTTCTTACCCCCTCCTCCCACCCTATCTTCTGCATATAACCCAACGTTTTCCCAGCTACTATCAGTTCCCAGGAAGGATCACCAGACTTGAAATGTTAACTCTGATTTCTCTTCACAGGTGCTGCCAGACCTGCTGAGCTTTTTCAGCAA